GTCCATGTTTTCACCCTTTGTTTGTTTAAAGTTTATTAGAAAATATTCATATTTAATGACATGTAATTTGACAAAACGTTACAAACATGAAGCATTTGTGCATTTTTTTCCACTTTCAAAATTCATCAAGAGACCGACTTCAACCCGCTAGCGGGCCAGTTTTGGCCTGCGGGCCGTATGTTCGACACCCCTGCTCTAATCTATCAGAGAAACACAACAAAAATAATTACAATACATTTAAAAATATACATAAAATATTTTGTCAATGTGCTTTTTGCTGAAAATAACAGAATGAATACATTTTGGACAGTTGACCAATCCAAGGTCACACAAGGTCAAACCACCACTCAGACTCGCACTCATATTTAGAAAATCTCAATAACCTAATCCAGTTATCCTGCGATGTTTTCAGATTGTGAGAAGGTGCAAACTCCACACAGGAAAACTGGGAATTGAACCAGCAAACAGGTGTGGCAGTGTCTCAGCTTCATAAAGAGTGGATTGTGGGAATGTGCCTTTATCTTGTTTTTGATTGATTGAATATTCTGTGAAGATTTCAGACAGTTCCCAAACCCATGTACCACAGCGGGTCCTCCAGCCACATGTTGGACAAGAGTAAACCCTCAGCAGATAACGTCTGTCCTTCAACGACCCCGACCATCACTGGTCTTTAAATCAACGCAGTCATCGCTGATGATGACAACCTGCAGCCAATCCAGTTGGCCGCTAATCAGCGGCATCCAATCAGGTAATGAGGACCTGCCAGTCGGAATGGGAAGCAGACAACAAAACAACCCCCGCGGCCGACTCACAGGAAGCAGCAGACAGCCAGACATCGCGCCGCGGGGGGGTATGTACGGCGTGCCACGGTCGCGTTGTGTCCCGTGAAGACAACTGTCTGTGGACAATTACCTCGGATCAGAGGAGCTGCCGGACGTCTCCTCAGAGGCACGGCGTCTGACTCAGACACGGGGAAATGAGCCACTGCGTTTTCGATCATGTAAAATCCTCTGGTGGAGAAGAACCACCCATAAATTGACTCCCCCAGGAACTTGGCAAACCCCGGCCCGCCAAACCGAGCTGCAGTCAGGTCTGGAGATGTTTATGGAACGGTACATGGAAAAATTTGTCAGAGAAACATGTTTTCCCAGGGAATTAGTATCATCAGATGAATTTACAAAAATGCACAGTGTTGTTGGAGGGAGATCTCCCACAGGTTCTCTGGGGAAGGAGAACCGTTCCAACATGGTACATAATTCTCAGCCCGAGCCAGAGGATGACTCTCTGATTTGTGGTCCCTCTTTAGCGCGCATTCCTTGGGGGAAATTCGAGAGAGAGCATTATGCAAATCCACAGGTGCATGCCAAGAGCAAATAACTGGACTTCTGCCTCCAAGTACTTCAAGATGCCTTTCACTCGGCTGCTGACGGTGTTCAGGCCGCGGTGTGAGGACCGACGCCAGGAACGTGTGGGCGTAGAGAGGACGGCCACGAGGCCTGCATGTTCACAAGCTTCGAGAACAGCAATCGAAACTGAGTCTCTACTCATTAGGTCCATTATCAGATCATCACACTGAGGAAACACACCGCTACTAACTCAGAGGGCGCTGAGTCAGCGCACTGTGTCGCCAACACCTCCACAAGTCGACAACAACAACAACAACAACAACAACGCGACACTTCCTGTTTCCCATTTTACCCACATCAGTTAGAATTTCTCTCTCAAACAATCAATTTCATCAATATGAAAATACGTGTTTCTTTCACTATGTGTGGGTGGGGGGGTGCTGAGGATTATGGGTAATGCGCCGAGCCCTGATGTGTGTTGAGTTTTGGTGGTGTACAGGCAGATGGAGAGAGGAAAGCCCCTCATCACCGACTGCTGTCCGGCCAAAGCAGCACAGACAGGTTTCTGCAACATGAGTCCTACACATGTGGAGCCGCTGCCCCCTTGTGGCTAGTGTGTGTAGTACAAATAAAGACAGTTTGTTTTGATCATGGGAAATAGTGATACATTTTTGGAAAGAAAGAAAAATCCTGAAAGAGATTCTAAAACTGGTGTCAAATCAAATTCAAGGATCAACAACATTGTTTCCCAAAGACTGGGTCGCAGCCCTCAGGCGGGACGCAAGAGATTATTTTGGGGGGTTGTCTCACTTTTGTGTTTCCCAGGAGTTTACGAATAATGTCTATTGACTTGGGTCGCGAAGATTTGTGACTTTTAAAATATGGGTCCCCAGAAAAAAAATATATGACTTTAGATAATTCTGCACTTTGAAAAAAACTTTGTGAAAAATTAGATGTTGAGAAAAATACATTCCAGGAATATATAAATGTTTCACGCCCGGGTCGCTCAAATAGGAAACGGGGCACACGAACAAAACTAAATTTTAAATTTTTGTCAAAGTTCAATTTTATTTCAGTCGGTCAAAGCCACAGTCATAGAACTGTTATAATAATAATACAAATAATGTCACCACTGTGTCATTCTATCAGCCTATCAGAGCATCGGTGGCATGGAGATGACATTTTACTCGCGGTCCGCAAATAGGTGGGTCGTGGGCTGGCTGCAGTCCACGGGCCGCCAATTGAGGGCCTGTGTTTTACGCCAAATTATGTAATCCATTTAAAGAATCGACTTTGTTTGTGTGTCTCACGGGACTCAACGTCACCTAAAGGCAATAACAATGTCCTCATCCACGGGCTCTTCTCCAACCACTTCATCTTCTGACACAAGAACCACTTTCCCCGTAAGGTCAGCACCACAAGTCATCGCCGACGTACGGCTCTGACAGGACGTGTAATCATCCGCCTTACACAACCCAAAATGCGATGCACAAAAAGTGAGGTAAGCCGACAGATACGGTCCTTTTTTTTTTTTTATTCCCATAAACAAAAGACCTGCAGTGCAGAGAATCTCTGACATTCATCAGCAGAGGCTTATTAAAAAAAAAAAAAAAAAAGAAAAGAGAGAGAGAGAGAAAACCAGCCCTGCTTTTAAATTCATAGGCAAATATTTCACAATATCTACATCGCTAAAAGTCACACACTCACGGTCCAAACATTGAACGCAGTAGTCGATGCTCGTGGAAAACATTCAACGAGGAACATAAAACGATGGACGTGTCGTCTACGCTAACGTCGTGAGCTAACAATCTTCAACTACGTTTATTACAGATAAATATGATTTCAGCATCGACATCAGTGTCCGGGTTTTTTTTTTTTTTTTCCTCCGTTGCTGTTAACGTCAGATCAACATTACACAACCCACACACACACACACACACCCACACACACACACAAATCCACCTACAGTCAGACAGACCCACTGAACACTGCAGCAGTAATATCCAATGCAATAGCAAGGAAGTGCGCCACCTATCTGTAAGAAGTCTGTGCACGCATCACACGCACAGAATACACACTCGACTTAAAAAGTGACACCTGGCTGCCGGTCAACGTGGTCAATGGTAATTTGACCGTCCACCACCGTGTGGCGTGATATTCAACTAAAAACAAGGCAAAGTGAGATGAGTCGTTCAGTCAGTGTCTCCTAAAATAATCTAAACAGCATGAATGAGTGACTGGCAGCACGTGCTAATAAGAAAGAAAAAAAAATGGCTCAACATCATGAACATTTTAGAAAAAAAAAAAAAGTTGCTACGAACATGTAAAAGGTTCTTTCGTTGGCTCAGGGTAACGACAAGCACGTGATTGGACGATAAAACAAGGAAACAGTTTCTGATGACATCACAGTCCAAGATGTTTGGTTATATGGCTGAGGGTCGCACAGTCACGCAGCGTTTTTTTTTTTTTTTTTTTAAACCCATCAGATAACTAGAGGTTTCCAACCACTGGTACCCGGACCCATATCGAGTCATAATTTATACAACAAAGGGCCACAGGAAAAAATGTAATCTTTTTGTGTTTTGGTTTTTGTTAAATAACTGGATTTTGTTCTAATTATGGAGGCCACTTGCCCTTGAAGATGCTCGCCAAAATAAAAGTCTTTGGAGAGAAGGCAACAGAGCAGGCTTTAGAATCCAAAATAATGCACAAACTCTAAGTTCCTACAGTAGCACCCTCTCTCTGTGTATAATATATAGCATCACTTTAATGCACTTTATAATTTTATTTTGTATAGTTTTTTTTTTCTTACTGAACTGCATAATATGCATATAGTCTCACATATAAAATGGACCGGGGGGGGAAGGGGGGGGGCTGGGGACCCCTGACAAAAACAGGTCAACAGTTCAATTTTGAAGTTAAATTACTAAAGGCTGGGAGTACACAAGTATAAAGCATACAGTATATATATATATATAAGAGTATTATAAGGGTTCTACATCTATGTCCACAGTGAAGCCTGTGAAGGAATAAACGTGGTAGAAATCACTATTAACCTATCACTATAACCCAGTATGTCTGTTTAAGCTAAGCACTTCCCTGGTTACACTCGGAGGCAGAGGGCATGAATAAGGCAGGTTATAAAAAAAAAAAAGTTTGTTATTTATAGCTTTAACAGTATGGGTCAACACAAACATTAGGACGAGACAGAATAAGTTAAAAACATGTATAAACGATAGCTTCCTTTAAAACCCGCTCGTCTCCTAAAGCTGCTCAGAAACAAAATCATACGAACTCAACCAAACGTGAAGAAGAAGAAGAAGAAGAAGAAGAAGAAAACCCCACGCTCTTTGAACTCCAAACCAAAACGGAACGCATGTGTGCGTGCTACTATGTACAGGTACGGACATAAAAGGAGAGAGTTTACATATTTACATACAAACGTCAGTCCCTGATCGATTAAGGCCAAAGTGCTGCAGTTGCACGCGTCGCCAGTAGGCTGCGTGTTTTTTCCTCAGTTTGCAGATTGCAAAGTAGATGATGAGACACAGTAATACTCGAGGGCTTGGCTTCATCAGAAAGAATAACCCAAAGCTAACCCTAACCTTAAGCATCAGTCCAAAGAATTATTATAACTTTACAAAAATCAGGATGTTTTTTTAAAATATCTTTTTTTTTTTTTTTTAAACATACATCAGCACTGGAGGTCACATGACACAGTCCTGATTTTCCAGTTGGCTTGTTGGTGACGCTCTCATCCTGAGAGTGTGTATTAGTTGTATTTGCTGTTTACAGGTTCTGGGTGATTCCTAACCAAAGTGTCCGAGTGTTTGGATTGGCAGGATCGCCTGGACTCCTCGGCGTGGGTCAGAGCATGCCGAAGCCTTCGCTGCCCTCACTGATGGCCAGCTTCAGCAACTTGTGCAGCTCCTCGTAGGAATCGTAGGTCGGGAGGCACAGCTGGTTAAAACTGGACGGAGAAAAACAAACAAATGTACCTTTATATTTACGTGAATATCAAAGAAAAGTGTTAAATGTGAAACAACAAATAAATAAAGCTCAGACGTGCTAACACAGGACAAAGATAATCTCCAGAAAAGTGAGTGCACTTAAATAACCAAACGGCAGATGACGTTTTTATTGCGTTCTTTTGAAACTGCACCAACTTTTCTGGAAATCTTATCTTTGTCAAAACTACTTCAACAACTTTAAAAACACATTAATCACGTTCACGACGCCACATATTTCTTGGCTACGAGACGTGAAACACAAGAGTTCTTTCTGTTCTGTCAATCTATTTAAAACAGATCTATCTTTTAAGAATGGACTAAAATATTCTTAAAAATACTGGTCACTGACAAATTGTGAACCTGGGCAGAAATTATAAATACATTATATACATTTAGTTACTTTTTCTGTCAAATATTTTAAAAGTGTTAAAATGATTTTTTTTTCCCGTTTAACAACGTCCATAAACTAAAAATATACGCCAACATTTTAATGCAACAACAAGATGGCGTCAGACTTTAGCCCCCTAGCTAAACATAGCGGTGGTAAAAGCGAGTCACGTCTTTAGCGGTGAGAGTGATTCCATCCAATCGGTACCCAGAGTGTTCAACAACCTAATCACCACCTCAATCGTTTGTGACATTTGTGGAAAGTACGGTGCAATTTTGTGCCGTGAGTAAATAGCTTAGCTTACGTTATAAACTAAAAATATACGCCAAAATTTTAATGCAACAACAAGATGGCGTCAGACTTTAGCCCCCTAGCTAAACATAGCGGTGGTAAAAGCGATTCACGTCTTTAGCGGTGAGAGTGATTCCATCCAATCGGTACCCAGAGTGTTCAACAACCTAATCACCACCTCAATCGTTTGTGACATTTGTGGAAAGTACGGTGCAATTTTGTGCCGTGAGTAAATAGCTTAGCTTACGTTATTGACGTAGCCAGGGCTCGGCAGCTGCTCAACTCGGTCTCCGTTAATTCACTTGTCACAACAGACAGTCATTGTGTCTTCACGTCACGCATTTGTCGCGAGACGTCGGTGTCGGCCAAAAACGTTTTGGACAAATATAAACAGTTACACTTGCAAATTCCATTTAATTCCAGACTCAGGAACACACCTGGTCTACCTCCATTAGTCTTTCACCGACTCTTAAACAGGAAAACTTAAATAAAAAAATAAGATAAATGAAAATGTCATGCATAAAAGCTAAAATGCTTTTATCATTTTCTATGCCATCTATTGGGGAAACATGGGTATTGCAGGGAAAAGGCAGAAGTATATTGATAATATAAATAAATTATATAATTTGGAAAAGTTTACCGGGCCGGATTTAAAAAGCTGAACAGGCCACACCACGGCCCCTGGGCCTTAGTTTGCCCACACCTAGGTTAGCACCACAAACATCTAGGAACTACAATGTAGACATCAGGTACAACCGATTTGTATTGACACAAACAGTGATGACTTTAGCTGTGGATAGGGGGCGACAAATAGATAGATTTTCCCTGTGAAGCATCGTTGGCTCACCGCTGTCTCTGATTGGCTCACAGTTTACATTGACCGAGTTAACCAATCAGATTCAGACACAGTCGACACTACCAGATGTAGCTTCACTGAACCATAATATGAAGAGTTACTGTCGTACTCACCAGGTGTGTGCTGTGGGCAAAGTGCTGTGTGTGGGAGCGGCGATGATCTGAAAGGACGGGCTGAGGGTGTTGAATCCTCCAGGGGGCAGCTGTGAGGAACCGGTGGTGAACTGCAGGAGACGAGCCAGCTCCTCCTGAGTGAAGCTGGACACCACGGCCCAGAACCACTTCATCACCTGCAGCAGAGAGGGGGAAATCACCGCCATCAGACGCTCTGATGTCGGAACAACAGACGGAACAACGGCCGGAACAACAGCCGGAACAGCAGTCGGAACAACAGCCGGAACAACGGCCGGAACAACAGTCGGAACAACAGCCGGAGCAACAGCCGGAACAACAGTCGGAACAAGAGCCGGAACAACAGCCGGAACAACAGTCGGAACAACAGTCGGAACAACAGCCGGAGCAACAGCCGGAACAACAGTCGGAACAAGAGCCGGAACAACAGCCGGAACAACAGTCGGAACAAGAGCCGGAACAACAGCCGGAACAACAGTCGGAACAAGAGCCGGAACAACAGCCGGAACAACAGTCGGAACAACAGTCGGAACAACAGTCAGACCGGCGACTTCAACGACGTACCTTTTCTCTGAAGTGCCACGACCCGCCCACGATCACAGCGTGAGCCTTGAAGTCCTGAACGTTGATGTCACCGGTGCCGCACATCAGGAGCTGAGGAGATTACAGGTGAAACATGAGGTGGTGAAAAATTAACGGATTTAAAAAAAAAAACGACGACCTCAAAATGTCACAAACCTCTAGCTCGTTCTCATCAAATATGGCAAGAAGGTTTTCTGGAACCAGCTCGTTTAACCCTGTAATTGTTAAGAAAATTATAATTATAACGTTTATGTTACCACAGAAATCTTGTTCTGGATAAGTTGACGCTCCTTTACCTTTTAGGAAGTGTTCTACCTCGTCTCTCACCTGACTGGCCAGTCTGTACTGAGCCAGCAGGTTCAGGTAATGCATCTTATTTTCATTAGTGACAGCGATCTGGGCTCCTCCTGAGATCAGCTCCACCACCTGCACGACCAAGGGCAGAAACATACCGACAGGGGAAGAGTTGAACCCCAGACATGATTCAAGGCATTCATTGAACATTTCAGCTGGGCTGGATTTTGAGAAAAGGAAATGAAAAGGAAAAACAAATGATAAAAAGTTGAATGAACTCCTTCAGAGACACTGCCTGCTTTGTTAACTCCACAGTAGAAACACTGCAGCGCAACATGTGGATCTCTGTGGGAGACAAACGGCCCTCGATGAAGACATAAAGAACTCATTCAAAGCCAGAGCATTTAAATCTGACTGATGGGTTTACTGCGTTATAATAGAAAAACAATGATGTTTATTATATTCAATTTCACGCCTCAGAACCATGTGAATCTCAAACGCTGCTGGGTAATAATAAAAACATAGAATTTAGAAATGGTTTTCAGCCTTGAACCGTTTACATGGTTGGTTTAAAGTTTAGAAGATGAATGTAAACCCCCGGCCCCTCCCCTCATTTGAAGAAAAACAAAACGCTTGCCAAACAAGCAATATGGTTTCTTTTGCTTGGCGTCTTGTTTCTATCTCCTTTGAGATGACATCAGGGACAAAAAGAGGGGGAGTGTCCCTCCTCTAAAAGTGTTGCCTCACCTTCTCCAGCTGTCCCGACTTGCTGTACTTCTCCTCGGCAAACACCAGGTCCATTTCACTCACGTCATTGTTTAGGATGAAGCAGACTTTAGTTTTATAGAACTCTTGGTCATCCGTCTCAAAGTACTGCGTACGAAAGGGAAACAAAATGAAAACACAACAGAATGACATTTTCAAATAAACATGACATTTCATCCTCTTCTGTGGATAAAGAAAACATGATGATTGGGTCGACTCCAGTTCTCGGCTTTGAAATCTTAAGAAGTTTGGCAAACGGCAACACTATCTGGCTACTTCTCCATGAAAAATACAAAACAAAAGTTTCCTGGCTTTTGCGAGGAGTATTTGACGTGATGACAGAGGCGCGGTAGGTAAACAGTACCATCAATCCTTGGTCCATACCTTATAGTTCATCCTAAGGCCAATGATCTGGGCCAGGAAGGAGCGTGTAAATCGAGCCCGGACCAGCTGTTTGTAGGCTCCGCCCAGGGCAGACTCGTACAAACACTTCCCCACGACACGACCCGCAAATTCGTACATCTTGAGACGTAGGTGGGGCGGCCTGTCTGGATTAGGGTGCACCTGCGAAATAGATAAATAATCGTCAGATCCGTTGGAATTTTGTTTAATGTTGAGGTCAGACTAAATGACGTGGGCGCAATTACAGCCAAACTTAACAGATTAACACGTTTTCTGTCATGTCCTAGTGACTAGACATTCCTCAGAACGAAAAACACCCAACAGTTCAACGTTAGTTCAGTTGAATCTGTGGCAATGTTAGAAAATAAACTTAATTAGTCGGAAAACTATTATGTATTTAATTAAATACGCTTCCACTAGGGGGCAGCATATAGGCATAAAAATTCAAAACACAGAGATCAAGGGCTGTGCAAGAACTTCTTTGTGACTTTCTTCAATTCCTGTTGTGTACATCAGCAATGTGTCCAACTAAACAGGCCAAAGCTTAACAGGAAACCAGTTGGATGTGGTGCAGACTTACCAGACCCTGGTTGTTGTCACTGAAGCGGTTGAACAGCTGGTTGGAGGTGTCAAACAGGGTCTTGCAAACCAGCTCAAACCACTCTCTGCGAGGACCGCCCCAGTCCAACGCTGTGGAATAACATCAGGAAGTTGATAGGAACTCTGAACAGTGAAGTACTAACACTGCAGTTAAGACAAGTTTGTGTGGTTCACCTTCTTCATCCTGGAACACCACCTCAAAGTTCTTACTCCAGTCTGACACCGAGAAGTTTCTTGTTGCCTTTAAAGACTTTAAAGGAGCAAGAGAGGAAAAACACAAACACGCAGACGCAAATGAGTTGAAGTGATGAAAGAAGATCGGCTGGATGGCAACATCATTTTATGGATGTTAATCAATCATTTTTAATCAAGTTATCAAGTTGATAGACATGCTGTAAATTCGTACTTTTATTTAAAATTATTTTGAATCGTGTTCTTGTTTTAGATAAATCAAAGTACACCTATGTACAGGTACGACAATGAAAAAAGGAGAGGAAATATTTAATTTTAAAAATTAAAGGTAGGAGCAGGAAGATGGAAAACTCATATGATAAATACTAAAGTACTTTGCCTTGCTAGTTAAATACTACATTTTTGTGTTTCAATTTTTTTTCAATTTTTTTTTCATTTTTGTGATTGCAATTCATGACATATATTGATGAATACATTTAATAGAAAATCTGTTTAATGTCCCATTTGTTTGTCATTCATTTACAGCACAGTGTCATGAAACGCAGCACTCACTGAATCCAGAATGGAGTGGCGAGTGATTTTCAGGCAGGTTTTTGTGCGTGGTTTCTTGACGTGGATGTGTCTGAGTTCACGCTGAAAGAAGACGACTTTGTCTTGGAACGTTTCGGAGCCGCCTGTGGTTAAAAGCAATAAATCACAACTTCAATTTCAGCACAGGTCATTGTGGAAGTTGAAAAAAATAAATAAATACAATCGTGAACACAGATGAATGAAACAAACCAATGTTTTTGTGCAGGAAACGGATGAAGGTGGCAGCCATGATGTTTCTGTCTTTGCAGCTGAGCTCCACAGGGGGCTGTATCCCATCATCCACCACTAGAGTTTGGTATTTGTGAACAGGATCTGGACCATAGTAGGTAAACTGGGAACAAGAGACAAAGAATTATGGGTAGCCCGTCAAACCAATTAAAATATTTCCTGTTTTCCAGCGATGGTTCACGTCGAAGTTACCTTTGTTCCTGGACAGACACGAAATGTGAAAAGGCGCCATGGAATTATTTTCAGGTAGAACTCCTTCACGGAAAGTTGCTGTTGGCCATAAAAAGTTGACACGACCGTTCAGAGGAAAAATGAGTGCAACTCTCTGGTAACATCAAGAAAAGAGTTGGACTGACCTTTGGTGATATGTAACAGTAGACCTTTTTTGGTTTCTTCACCTTCTCTGGCTGGCCCTCCACGGGAGAGTCGTGCTCATCCTCCTCCTCGCCCATAGAGGGCCTCCTTTGAGGAGCCAGCAAAGAGGAGGCTGGGAACTGCCACGTTGAACTGCTGTAGTTGCCGCTGCTGTAAAGGTACGCCTCAAAGTAGATACTGATGCCCGGAGTGGACACGTTCCTCTCCACGCACGTCTTCTCATTCTCTGTGATACACGTGTGAGGTTTTCAAACTAGGCCTGTACATAAATCTATTACTGTAATAATATTAATTATTATTATTATTATTGTAGCCAATCAGGTTTCCTCACCACTGAGAACAATAACGTCAAATTCCCCGTTGCTGAGCAGCTGCTTCTTGTAGGAGATGCGGGCCCTGAAACAGCCCGACTTTCTCAGGGTCAGTCTCAGCAAAACCTGGCACTGTGGCTTGTTGAGTGAAACTGATTTACTGCAGTATTCTTCCAGATTGTCATCATCCACCGTACCCAGCTGGAAGAAGAGGGAGAACAATGGTGATGGCAGTGCAAATCAGAGAACGACCGAACGAGTTTTAGAACGTGAAAAGAGCCAGAGAGAGGAGCTGCGTTCTCAGGAGGGTTATTGTTTACAGTTTAGTGACATGATATTTACATTTATACATTTAGCAGATGCTTTTACCTAAAGCGACCTACAGAGGAGGATTAACGTTATCAAGCATGTGGTTCCTCTGGGATTCAAACCCAGGACTCGCTGCTTTCGAGGCAGGCGTGCTACTATGGAACCGCCACAATTTTCCTTTGGTGTCTTTAACACGACCAACAGGTCATTTAAAAAAAATGAATGTCTATTTTTTTATCTGAACCCATTCATTTGTTATCTACCACTTCAACAGACGAGGGCGATGTTACACCCTGGATAGTTCCACAAGACATTGCAGGGTCACAGACAAACAATCATTCACGCTCACGTTCACACCTTGGGTGAATTTAGATTCAACCTCATCCATATCAAACCAATGTGGATGTTTTTTATTTATTTATTTATTTATTTTGTTTTCTTACCGAATGCACTCGGACGCTGTAGTTGGCTTCATCTGTGAGACTTGTGGAGTTACTTGTGGGGTTCCCGTACTCATCCCTGGGCTCGATCTGCAGCGTGTGCTGCTGCCCATTGACCAGGACCAGGGTGGAGAAATGATAAGCGATTTTTGTTTTGGATGGAACAACGGTACCTGAGACAAGCCAAAGAAAAACTGATATCACCTGATATAAAATACAAGGTAAAAATGATAAAACCCTAAAGATGGTTCTGTAATGTTGCATCATACCTGGCTGAAATATTTTGTAATAAGGGCTGTAGGCCACATTGAGGCCGCCCAGCTTGACGGCAACCTCGTAGCGTCCAGCTTTGCGCACTGTGAAGGTGACTTTGACGACGTTGGACTCTGGTTCTTGAAGAACCTCCTGTGTTACAGGGATGTCCAGAGCCAACTCAATATGGGTGATGTGGACCCTAAGACCCACAGGCCGGTGGGCAGGGAAGGGCTGACCGTTCTTATAGAAGAGCTGAGCAGACACAAGTGCAACAATATGATAAGTAGAGGACACGGAGAACAAAAAAACACTGTCAACCACTGACTTTAAAAAGCGACAAACAGACAAATTTACAAAAACATGAGGTGTGAATCGTCACCTGAACTCTAAAGCTCATAGTCTGGCCCACTTCCTGTGGTTCCTTCCAGTCCCACGACACCTTGCAGGACCGTGGGTCCAGGTAATTACCCCGCACATAGTCGTAGATGCTGCGGTCTCCGCGTCGTCCTGGATCCTCATTCTGCAGAAAGCTGACAACCCTCGCTGCAAGCTCACAGAGGAACTTGATAGTAAAGACAAACGCTATGATGGAAACAGTAATTCCACCTGCCAGAAGGAGGAAATGAGTGAGAAGAAATGAGGGAATTTATCGGCTTATTACAGAGCATAACGAGCGAAGAGCTATCGATCGAATCCTGACATCTTAATGGGAATAAATTTATAGTGAGTCCTCAGGCAGGGAAGTACAGAAAGGCATGCATTAAAACCCTTCAGTCCAGGGGTAAAAACCAAACTCACCAATCACGTAAAACATGAGGTCCCGTATCAAGAAGCACAGCGCCACAGTACAGCCAAAAATGAGAGCTCCCGCTGTAACAAATATAAAAAAATCCAACAATTAGTGAAATAATAATTAATAATAAAAAGACAAAGACTAAAAATCCACAACACGGCTGGGTGTAAAACCATGCAGTAAAAATGTTAACAGCTGGTGTTAACACCAACAACAAACCAAAACGACTTGAGCCTCACCAATCGACCACTTCTCATTCAGACGCCTCTCAGCAAGGCTATGCGCCAGCCGAATTTCGTAGTCCTGGTCTCGACTCCCCCTGGTGGTCTTGAGGATCTTGATGCCGGTGGACAGTTTTATGTAGTCTTCGTAGTAGTAGCCCCAGGCAGCTAGAGACAACTGGAGTTCACTGTCAAACTCAGACAACTCATCCAGATTGGCACAGCCCAGCGTCTTCAGCCTGTGAGGGAGAAAAAGTAAAAAAAAAAAAACTGATAAGCACAACGTTGGCAGTTTGGTTCTTCATGAGCATCTCTTTGAAGTGTTTTAATCTTTGCACTGAAAGTCGACCAGACAGAGTTTCTACGCCCTATAATGTAAGTGTGACTCACACATCTCACAGATACTGCATGTAGTAGTAAAAGTAGCAGCAAAGTGACCATTTCCAGCAAGGAATAAAGTGACTCAAGTTATAGTGGATGTAAAACAAAATAAAAATACAAACAATTTCCAGTGTGGCAAAAACTACAGGCTTTAACAGACGACTATGGCTGAGCAATAATTTTCAATCGCTCTCTCTCCAAAATACCTTTCACTCACTCACTGTAAATCATTAACCAAGTCAAAGACAAACAACAGAGGCAACACGTAGCAGCAAAAGGAAACTGAAGGAGTTGCCAAAAGTACAGAAATGATGGCTTTTGGGTAAAACTGAAACTTTTAACAACAAGAAGAAACTACATGTAGCTTTCTAGAAAATAATTAGAAAGTAACTACCTATTTGACAAAAAAAGGTAAGTACACAAGTACGTTACCACACTGCCTATTTGACAAAAAAAAAAGGTACGGTAAGTACACAAGTACGTTACCACACTTGGTTCTGACAAAATTTTAATTACACCATAAAATGATGGTGACAAAAAATTAATTTGACAACTAACACTAATGTTAACAAATATAATTTTCTATCGATGTGTCTGCACCTCCACCATCCCGTTGTCTAAGTTCTAGGCAGGAACACCCTGCACAGCACAGTTGTATTACTGTCAATAAAAAGGTTTTTATTTTTATTTTTTTACAGTGGTAAGAAGTTATTTTTTTACAGTAACATCCCAACAATGTGTAAAGGATGGACACAAAGACAAACTGCAGACTCACAAACACATTCATGGCATCCTTCTAATTGAGCCAGAATCACATTTTTAGTTCTTTGGTTTATTAAGTTTGAAACAATTTGCTACTGTACCTTTTTTAGACTCTTTTAGCTGATCACAGGAAAAAAACAACAAATGAGAGGAAAGAGGAAATAGAACTACTAAACATAAAAATATGACCCTGAAGGAAAAACTGCAACATCAGGTCAATGTGATCAATGTGCTCAGTCAGTCGGTCTGTACAAGTCAGAGCACGTGCGTGGTGTGTGTCCTGAACAACACACACACATACACACACCAAAACAAATCTGCATTGCTGCAGGGTGTCACAATAGCAGCCTCTAAAGAACAAATTCCACTGCAGTGTCCCTCTGAAAGACTGTTAGCAAAGACAAGGCTGCCCTCAAGTGGACAAATCAACAAAGCCGAGGTGTTAAATATTTCTATAAACAAGAGACTGTATCAACACCAAACAATATTTTTCGCCTGGTCACAGATTAGTGTAAACATTTTGTGCGAACACAAAATGTGACGACCCTCGTCGCTTACGTGTGGTAATAGTGTTCCAGGTTCTGAGAGCAAAGCCACTCCTGCAAAGCGAAATCTCTCAGCAGCTGGATGTGAGCCTCTGCGATTTGCCTCCAGCGCTGCTGCTCCTTCACCACCTCTTCCAGGCGACTCAGTACACTCAGACTCAGTTCCTCCAGTGTCTGCACATCTACATGACACATTCACAGCACATGAATAAATAGGCACCTTTACTGCTACTGCACAGACCGATAAAGTCATTAAACACGAAAACTATAGTGAGGCTTGAAGTTGATTATTTCATGGGTCACGCCAAATTATTTAAATCAAAACATTGACGAATAAATGTGTGATTGTGTCACGCCAAATTATTTAAATCAAAACAACAAACATTAAACAGGAAACTTTTTAGATTATAGTAGTAAACTGCTCATATATATTATATGTATGAGTGTGCATATGCATATATACAAATATATGCATATACACATACATATATAGATAGATATATACACATTATATGCATATATGCAAATATATACATATAGATATACATATATAGATAGATATATACACATATGTATTACAAGAAAATGCTTGATTTTTGTACATTTGTTGGCATCCCTCTTAATTAAAACTTTGGTTGACTAATTAATGCAGTTACCACACTAATAAGTAAAGGTTTACATCAACGACTTCAGTCACAACCATCTTTGTTCTGAAGCTTTGTCTGTTAGTCACCATCTTTGTTCTGAAGCTTTGTCTGTTTTTTTTTTTTTTAATTTTCCAACATTCATCCTGTAAAGTGCAGTCAAAGTAATAACACAACACTGACCTTCAAACAAGTGTCTGTACTGAGAGAGGCTGTGTCCTTGAAGCCATTCCTTGATCTGACTTTCTTTTCCTTTCTTCCAGCGCACCTCCCAGAAGAAGATCCACGACACAGTGCAGAAGAAAAAAGTCAGGAAAAACCTTCGGTCCATCAGACCATCTTTGAGCCTTCACTCAGTCCCCCCAGTGCAAAAAAACAGAAAAGTGCCATGTGTTGGGAAGATACCGGAGTCTCCTATAATGACAATGTCAAGGTTTTTTTTAAGAACATCATCTTTGCAGCAGGTGAATTCCAATGAGAGATACCGGTTAAACACGTGGAAGATAATATAACTAGGAGCTTTCTACAGTAAACTGCTTCGCAAAGAATGCATGAATATTTAAGCGTCACCCTGGCGTTGCGTTGGCTGATGGGAGAATATCATTACAGGTAATCGACAACACTGAAAAATGCATGAACAGCTTGGCAAAAGAATGGTCATAATACTCCCACCGGCATCTGTTTAATTATTAAAAACAAAGAAACTCAGTCAATTAAAGAATTTGTAGATTAAAGTGTGAATCCAACCACGCAGATCGAGATAATGTGGTGGTACAGAGGATGCTGACCTGTCTGAACCTGCTTTCTGTTGTTAAAAACCCTTACTGTTGCCATTGGCCGACACTATTACAAAACACAAGGAAGCTCAATTAGAATGTCATTTCCGTTAGTAAACTTCAAACGAAAGCTTTTTGCGATGTCTTTAAAATGTTTACGTTTAAATTGTCGTCCGCTTTCTGAAGCCAGCAGAGAAACCCCCAATTCCATCGTTTGTTAGCACCGTTAGCATGTTAGGCGGCTACATTCGCATTGGCAGACTGGTGAACGATGCTACGTGCTAAACAAGTTAGCCAACAATGCCAGCGGAATTTCATTAAAGCCAGTTGCTAACCCGAGCCGCTGCCAATATCCACACACGATTACCTGACGCACCTTGCAGCATTACATACACAAACAAAAAACTGCAAAAATACACGGGTTATTTCTCTTTTCATTAAAATCGCATTTACCTTCGGCTGATGCACATTAGCCCTGAAGCAGAAATCATTTATAGTAAAAGTGTCGGCGTTTGTTTACGTCATAATTAAGCGCTTCGACACACGAGGAAAAGCGAAGGGATACACTCGCTACGTTTGGTGTTTTTCTTCAACTTTAGGAAATGGTAAGTGGTTTATAGCATTGTAATTGTATCTTTAATACAGAGTTCTTAATCAATGTGTATAAAATGTACTTATTTAAACACAGCGAAGCTGTTTTTCGGCAGTTAGCTTAGCTACCACCCGTACATAGAGATAGTGTTTAAAAGACAAATACGTATTTTCACAATAGCCGCAAATACACAAAATAACTCACGAGCAGAGAAAGTGTGCACGTTTTGAATCATTGTATACAGTTAAAATGACAAAGTATCAAGGCCAGGGATTATGTACACAAAGAAAAATATGTGAAAAATCTCTGTGTTTTCTAGGGGAAACAGAAAACCAAGAAATATGCTGCAATGAAGCGAATGATTAGCCTAAAAGATAAAAGAATGTAAGTATAGTTTTGTTGTTATATTTAACATTTTTAGTGAGCTCTTCCATCATGTTTGATAATTGTCTTTAACATTTGCATGTCACACGTTTGTCTCAGAAAAGAAAAGGATCGGGCCAAATCAAATGAGAAAAAGAAGAAAGATCCTTCTGCGCTTAAGGAGAGAGAAGTGTACGTCGTGCTACCTAAAGGCTAAAAATACACAGCTTGTTGTTTATTACTTACCTCATTTGCATCACATTGTGTATCTTACAGACCCAAGTACCCATCATGCCTGTTCTTCCAGTACAATACGCAGCTTGGCCCACCATACCACGTACTGGTCGACACTAACTTCATCAACTTTTCCATCAAGGCTAAGTTGGATGTTTTTCAGTCCATGATGGATTGCCTTTATGCCAAATGTAAACTATCTTGCCTTATTTATCAATTACGTTCATTATTTTTTTTCTTCTGTAATTTTTCATCAAAGGACACATTATATGTCATATGTATATTTTGTAGGCATCCCATACATTACAGACTGTGTGATGGCTGAGATTGAAAAGCTGGGATTGAAGTACAGAGTTGCGCTCAGGTACAAGATCATTTTGGCGAGATATATCAGTAACAGTAGTTCATTACTATATAATCTGTTTATTTATAACAATGTCATGTGTATTTGTTTTTTGCAGAATAGCCAAGGACCCCAGGTTTGAGCGCCTACCGTGTACACACAAAGGAACATATGCTGATGACTGCTTGGTTCAACGGGTAACCCAGGTAATTATCACTGAACAAATCACTTCACAGAAATGAAAACACTATATTTAGGTCATTGCTTACTCCATTTAGGGAGCTGTGGTAAAAGTTACAGTATGCAGTAGGTCATATATTGTACGGTGCCAGGCCGAAGCCATCAAGCATATCAACATCAATGACATAGCTAACATGTTTTTGCAGCATAAGTGCTACATCCTGGCTACAGTGGACAGAGACCTAAAAAGGCGAGTCAGGAAGATCCCTGGAGTTCCCATCATGTACATTTCAAACCATCGGTGAGAGATATTTGTGAAACAGATATCAGCTTGATTTAAAGTAACTGCCAGTTCAATCAAAAACAATGTTGTTCTCCTTTCTTACACAGGTATAATATTGAACGAATGCCAGACGACTACGGCGCTCCGAGGTTTTGAGTGATCTACAACTCAGCTGAACATTTACTAGAAATGATTTAAAATTTCCTTTTGAATATTGTTCTCTCTCGATGTATAATAAAGATATTTTCAGGGTTTTGAAGTTTGATTTTGCTAGGCTGTGATCTAGTATAAATAAGATGGTTTAAAGTTTTCCTCTGGTACACATTTTTTGTGTTAATAAATGTTTGAAATACTAAAACCTAATGCAATTTATTTCTGACACTGATTACCTGCTGTGTGACCTGAGAAAAAAGAAGAAAAAAAAAATCTTGTATTAAACACAATTACCTTTGACCATTTGATATGTATAAGAACCTGTGGTAAATGTGTGTATTTTTTTAAATACCAAAAGGAAAATGTTTATACCTAATCTCTAGGTCGACTAATAAGGTTTTTACCTTCTAGGCTTTTGAATTTCTCTTTAAAAATAGGCTGATTCAATTCCTGTCACATAGCACAGGAAGTTAAGGATTTGGTCCTGTTGCCATAAATAATTTATAGTGCCGTAAAATTATTTTTTGAAATTAAAAACTCATGATTACAACTTAATCTTACGCCAAACCACGGTTACAACACAGCGACACGACCAACTCACTGACTGACTAACTTCAGTGACGTCATACCCAAAGCCTTCCAAGGATACAGTAGCCTTTAGCTTAAAAAGTACCGCCAATGTCACTGATAGACAGAAAAGCATATACAGTCAATTACGGTAATGAAGAATGCATTTCAAAAAATACCGTAATCCTGTGGTTTTGTTTTGTTTTTGTTTAAATCACCGGTATCATACATCCACATCACGTGAACGTCATTCTTCCAAGGAAGAATGACCTCATCTTTACAGTTCACGTGTGTTCTGGTCACAAAGTCACACCAGGAGGACATTCGACGTAATTTCTCTTAGTAGAGTGACGTTGTTGCTGACATGTGAAATGACTGAATGAATGTCGCTGTGAATCTCCGACATAAGTCGAGTTACAGCTAGGTTATAGACACTGTTATGAACCAACAGGCTGGGAATAGTCAAAAACGACAAGACCGACAAGGAAACAGTGATGCATCATAGTTGGTGCCAACTGCCGTTCAACAACTCCCCGACTAAACCAAGCACCTGAATGCAACAGCCCTTGAGATCATCCATCCGCCTTACAGGGAGGGCACATGTGCACATGCGCAGTGCGTGCGACTCTGGGAGTGTCTGGTCTGGACGCGGTTCCAAAGCCGCAGTCGCCGAAGCCAAAAAGAGCATCTGCATAAACAATGAAGCAGCGGAGAGAGCGGGAGGACACGAGGCTGTGAGTCGGTCATGAAGTGGACACATCAACAAAGACGGAAGTCGGGATTGTGCCGGAGAAGCTGGACGTGTCTGCTGTGAATGACCTCCGATAACGCTGCTGAGATTTAGTGACATGTAGGACTTTTATTGTCTGTCTTGTTGATATGCACTTCGTCTCCGCGGATCCACGGCCTTAATGTGTTTCTTCACAGACAGCGAATACACAACAAACTGATTTCACTCAATATTTTCGTGTTAATTTCATGTTCACTTGCATCGGCTACACAGCCTCATCACAGATCACCTCCTCCTGCAGTGACTCTGGTACATAAGATGGGGGAGTCTGATGTCGTGAGTTGGCCATCTGTTGTGGAACATAGTTAATCCTGAGAGATTATTTAGCGAGAGTCCGAGTCCAAGTCTAAGTCCATCATTCGGGACATTTCTGCACCAGCTCAGAGACGGAGGGATGCTGAGCGCCACCGTGAGCTCAGTGGAGGAAAGGGATGACGAGCAGGAGGATGAAGGTGAGGAAGAGCTGAGGGATGGAGGAGTGCCCTTCTTTGTAAACCGAGGAGGGTTCCCCGTGGAGGAGGAGACGTGGGAAAGAATGTGGCGCCATGTGGTTCGAATCCACCCGAACGGTGAAGCTTTAGGAAAGGAGATCCGAGGAGCCACTGACCTTCCCAAGGTAACGGACGACTCTGGTGTTCCATGTCGGATCTGAGAACTCATGATGGGGGCAGATTTTTTTTCTTATATATTTTTCTTATACTTTGCCCTCAGAGTCAGGACATCACACTTGCTGTAGACAATTTACAGCAAGGTGTTATGGGAAAATGTGAAGTTAATTTTATTACCGTGTCATTCAACAGGACCAGGAGATTAATAGCAGCACTGTGACATTATTCCACACAGTCAGCAGTTGGGATTATTTTTCAAACATCAATAGTGCAGTGAATATTGGGTCTGTTAAGGGTGCAATGTGCATGATTTAGCGACAGCTACTGGTGACATTTTGTCATGATTTGGTCAAATAAATCCCAGCATATTATTCCCAAGTAAACTTATAGGACATGTGACAGCCTTTAGTACTACTATATTTATAGGACAACATGTGACAGCCTTTAGTACTACTATATACATAACACATATACATATATACATACAGTATACCTATATATACATATATACACACAAATACATGCATACGTACATACAGTATACCTATATACACATATATACACACAAATACATGCATACATATATATATATACAGTATGTACATGTATATATAAATAAGCATGTTGCAATTCTTTCTGTATTTTTTTTTACCCTCCCAAAAAATAACATTTTTTAAATTACATTCCATTTGAACTAATATTCAAATCATTCACCTGCATTGTACACAGTGAACTTTTAAAGGAATAAACCGTGAAAAATTCTTCAAAAAAGTTAAACTCGCAGCATACTTGTATTGTTTGTTTTGGGCATAAACAACTATATATTAAGATATTTCTACAGCCTGAGTACATAAGTTCACATAAGTTGTATTTGATTCCTCTTTATCGACTGTTGCTAGCCCGATCGCCACCGCAATTCCGATGTATTTTCTTCCTTTTCTTGCTAATGACAGTGTAACTATCCAACTCCTACAACATACGGTACGTTTTGTCCCGGTCATTCTTCCGACACAGAACAATGACTTTCAGTCATTTCCTGTGCGAGTGGATCGTACAGCGGTTGTCAGTTGGTTACCCAGAGCTCGGAGGTCAAACACGACCACATTCTGCAGCTGCTGCGGTTATTAGGTTCATACAGTGGTGATGCAGTTGTTCGCCTCCTCTGTCCCACAGATTCCAGTGCCAAGCGTGCCTTCATACCAACCTACCACCACTGTCCCACAGCGCCTGGAAGCCATACAGAAGTACATCAGGGAATTTCAGTATCCTTTAACTGGTCGCACCATAAACCAGTGATTAATGAGCAATGTCACTGGACATGGTAAAGAAGGGGGACATACAGTAATTCCCATGACCCACTGCTTTAGCACATTTTGGCAGATGTGGGTCAAACAGCAGGAAATAGGCCACTGTAGATACAGGAGTCGGGGAAAAGTGTTTATCAAAAATGTATCTTGTTTCTGCTCATGCTAAACGCTACATTTCTCATCAGGCAGCTCCATGGTTCTCATGTACATCATGTGACCTTAACTGTGGCCTGCAGGTACAATCACACAGGCACACAGTTCTTCGAGATCAAGAAGAGCCGCCCCCTTACTGCGTAAGACAAATATCCATTTAGCCTCATATTGATCACCGCTGCTTGACCCACTGGGGAGTTTCATAGAGATTGTTGATTTCCTGTGCTGCTGAGAGCCACAGCATGTGGATTAGCTGCATATCTGCTTCACTCCAAGGCTTTGTGAGCAGGAACGAATGCCAATCAGAGCTCTGGAACACTTTCCCAGACCTCTCTTTATCAGATTTGGTAACACAGATGTTCTTACTCAGGCACTTGGAATTTTTTATTTCATTTTATTTTTTGTTGCCTAAAAATCACTGTTAACGGTGTCAACATTGTTTATATGACACATCAATGTACTGGAGTTTTAAGACACACATTCACTAAGCTTATGTTCATATAATTGTCACAGGCTGATGGACATCGCGAAAGAAATGACCCGGGAGGCTCTGCCAATCAAATGTCTGGAGGCGGTGATCCTGGGGATGTATCCTTTAATTACACATTTCTGCTATTTGTTGAAATTGAAAAAATAATCGCACATCAAGGCATAAGGAGTAGGCTGCGTTTTTTCCAAAAAGTCACTGGTCTTACCATGAGACTACACACTGTAGTACAGTAGGTGGCGGTATGTGCCTAAAAACATTGGTTGTGATTATAAAACGTCAGGTCTCTACATGGACTCAAGGACTCACTGCTATGTGACATTCAGGTGTTCAAACAGAACGTGGGAAGAACTAGACACAAACAGTGTTTTACAGGGATTGTGTAAAACCTGTGGTGAGCCTTAATGAAAGTTTTTCCTGATAATTAGTTCTAGAAAGTTCTAAAATGAAGCTGCTAAATGTACAATAAGTAAAAAGTGTCGTTAAAAACCCACAATTCAAAATGGCTGCTCTCAAATCAGGTTAAATATTTGGTTCCAATGGGTTTTCTTTGCTACATTAATCTATTGTCTACTTTAATTAAATAGAAAATAATGAGGGGCCTCGGCTAATGTCAAAGTTTAGTTCCACTGTTTCTTCCCCAGACCGACTGTCACCATCCTTGTTAAACAACAGTTAGCCTTCATTACCTTGACAGCCTCCGTACAGTTACCTCACCAACAACATGCCAGGCGTGGATCGTTTCCCCCTCAGCTTTAAGTCTCACTTCTCAGGGAACAACTTCTACCACATCGTGCTGGGAGTTCACAGCGGGGGACGTTACGGCGCTCTGGGCATGAGCAGGAGGGAGGACCTCATGTTCAAGGCCTTGGAGTTCCGCACACTGACGGACTTGGTGCAGGACTTTGATGCGGCCTACAGAGGCTACTGGCACACCCTCCACAAGGTCAAGATCGGGCAGTACGTGTCCCACGACCCTCACAGTGTCGAGCAGATAGAGTGGAAACACTCCATAGTGGATTTGAACAAGCTGAGCAAGGACGAGCTACGAAAGGAGCTGGAAAGGTACACTCGCGACATGAGGCTCAAGGTAAAATAGTACTTTATATTTTGTGTACTTTTACATGGTAGATTGGGTCTGAAAATTCAGAGTCATTAGAAAAAATAAAATGCAGTTTCCGTTGCCCTTAGATCTGACTAATTACTTTCAAATTGTTTCAACTCCAACATTAGATTGATGTTAGCTTAAAGACCTACATAGATGTAAAGCTACCCTATTTAGCTACTGTATGTTTAGGCTAATGTAGCATCACAGGTAATGTGAACAGAAAAAAAGCTAATCTTACCCAAAAGACATACTGTATACATGTACAGAAGATATAAACAGGCCAAAAAGATACTGTGGGTTGCTAATGCTAACAAAAACATCAAGCTATGTTCTGGCTTACCTAGTATCCCATGCTTTCTGATCTCAAAGAAATCGCTAATGTTACTCAAAAGATATACATATTGGGTTCAACACAGCAGCTATGAGTACCCTAAAGTGATAGCCTTAATAACTTGAGCTAACAAAAGAGAGTTGCATTAGCGTAAATGACAAGTCTCTATAACAACTTATTACTTAATGTCTGTGAAACTGATAGCTTTCGCGTCATCTAAGTGGAAAATGGCTGCTTCAGTTTGCATGACACTGGTCCTTCCTGTATTACTGATATTATATTTACCAAATCAGTAAAGGATCTTGCTGCTAGAAAGAGACAGGAACTTGGACACGTCCCATGATCCTGGTAGAACTCCCCACATTTGATGCACTAGTCCTGAATATTTGACAAAATGCCCCTGAAACAGTTCACTGGGGTAAATAAAAAGTAATATGCAAAGCAAATTTTAAGCTTCCAGTTTCAGAGTCCATCTCTGCAGACGACAAGAGGAGATTTAATGAGGCCTTTGTGGAACTACAGACCATCATGAAGGAAGTCATTTGTCGTCAGCAGATGGACTCAGCCTAACTGCTGATTAACTTTCCACTGACCTGCCGACATTTCAAGCATGGCGACCCCGAGTTAATCTGCTTCCTGTCAAACGATGCTCTCATCTGCTCTGATGCTGGCTATTTTATATCCAAATGAATGGCCTGGCTGCCGTCTGCACGGCTGATTGGCTTCACAATAACTCAACTCACAAATGAATGACTTTTTTCATGCGACAGTCAGAATGGCTCAAAATTTTTTTTTTTTGCATTTTTTCCCAGATATGAAAGCCTATGCCGCCCTCTCCGACCAGAGACAGGAAAAACAGCATGGGTTCACCTCTCCGAGTACAGAACAGTCCCAAACGCCGGAGCAGTCGTATTGAGAAACGGTACGACTCATCTGCCGTGAATCTTTACTTTTGTCTGATGACATACTGTAGGTGCTGCATAGGACTAATGTTTATTTTTATTTTTTTTTGCTACAGTACCTCGGCCGAGAAGCCACCGGAGGATACATCATCTTCTGACATGAGCGGTTACCAGATCCGAGTATAAGAAACAATTTCCATCTCGTTTGTGACGTTTTAAAAACCACAAACACGCACTTGTGACAGCGGACCATCGATTTACTCTCGGGCTTTTCTTTCTACACACTGGCCTGTTCTTGACAAGCAGCGATGAATGGGCCACCAGCAGCTACTCCTCTATGAACAATGAACTCATTTTGAATCTCCTACATCCGTGGCTTTCGAAGCAGCAGCTGAGCAGGATATATTTTCAAAACACAAAGGTCCAAAGTGCAGTATTTCCTCCAAAGGCTGGCAAAAAAAAAAAAATGTGCAAAACATATCAAAGCCTCTTTTTGGTGTCATGATCAACTAGAAGTTCTTAAGGCTTGTTAGCAGTTAGCATCATCGTACTGTAAGCGTGCAAATACATGTGATGTAACCTTGAATCCACTTAGGCTCTGGCGAGCGGCCGTGCTTGTGTAACCACCCCCCCTTGTGCCTTGTAGGACACATTCACACCAAACGACTTTTGTAACCATTATTATCATGACTCATAACAAAGCAGTGTAAAATGCTAACTGTTGGCAGTTTCTAGACAGTTAGCTGTGCGACGGCTAATAGACAGATGCTAGCACATTAAGCATGCTAGACATTGACTGAATAAGGGTTGGAATCTCTTGTTATGCCTGACAATGACCACAGCAGAGAACTCATCTGCTACATTGATGCTAACCATGGGAGTCGCTATATACATGTACTGTGTAACTGCTTTATTTACACCATGTTCTTTTCCACTTGTAGCGATTTGACTTATTGTATCACTTGCCTTAAGTGTCACGTATAAAAAAAATGTTTTTCTTTACTTCACCTTTATCTACTTTTTGTATAAAAACAATAGAAATATTTTAATTTTTTTTTTACTTCTAGTGTTGCTCACCAACAGACCTTCATGACAGCGGCCTGGATCAAATACAACACATTTTTTAATGTACAGTATGTGTCGTCCATTTCCAGTTCAATACTCTTTTACACACTCTGATTTGTACTTATAAAGATTTACAGGGTCACAATAAAGTGTCGCCAGGGTTTAGGCAACAATTTTGTCATATTTATTTACACTGCTCGTCATATTCACACAGAAGGTGCTGGGTTCGAGCCCCAGAGGAACCACATACTTGGCGCCCCCTAGTGGCACCCTGTTGTTGCAGCAGCAGCTCTGCTCACCACTGCATCCAAAGTGGTGAGCACACTTGCCTTACATATCTGCCTTACACACAGGGGGTCCTGGGTTCGAGCCCCAGAGAAACAACATATGCTTAATGGCGCCTCCTGTGTGGCAGCCTGTGTGTTCAAACCACATACTTAATACTGCCTCCTGTGGCAGAGTGTGAGTTGCCAAGACTCATACTTCACTAAGCGAAGCCCCTGTTTTGGAAATTCAGACTTCACTAAGCGAAGCCCCTGTTTTGGTTGTCAAGTTCTTTATGTTGTCTCTACTTACAAATGCCCCTACCCACCCACTATCGGGCTTGAGCAAAATGTGTATGAAAAAGTATTGAATTAAGTTATTAGCATCTCTCAGCTGGATTCTTACTAGAACTTAAGGAGGCCGTTAGAATATTATAGTCAAGCGAACAAATAAAATTCAAGTTTCCATTTTCAACTCTTCAACCATTTTAGAATTAGGTGATGAATTGCAGCATACTAGCCTAAAATAAAATTCAACTTCGACGCCATCTGCTGTTGCAAAAGGACAAGGAAATTGGAAAAGGCCACATGGTGGTACAAAGTAAAAAAATAACGAAATTATTGCTTGCTAAAAAAAAATTAGCACATACAGCTGTATGAGTTATTATTATATGGTCAACACCAGTGTACAAACAATATATATATATTTACACACACATATATACAAATATATAAACATATATACATGAAACATACGTATATATGTGTATATATATATTTAAATATATACATATATTTATTTATTTGTATATATATATGTGTGTAAAAATACGTATACAAATATACATCGATGTATTTGTATATGTTTAAGTACTGAATTGCATGACAGGCAAATTAAAACATTTCCTATTTGCTGTTGAGAATCGTCTTCATTGACGTTCTTCTGCAGCCCTCACACAACAGAGCTCCTCACTTAGCTTCGCGTGTGCACGCAAATAGCAACATAAATTATTTACTCCTCTGCCCCCCCACACACACACACACACTCACAGCCTCAGTGGACCACAATAGTAGAGGGATGGTTAGCTAACGTCCCAAAAGGTTTAATTTACTATGAGCTAAATGTAACTTGTTTTTGATTTTTACGTACTTTTACCGAATTTAGTAACGTGGCATTTAAAGTCAACAGTCAAACCGATGAGACAGTCCAAAATAAGAAGGGAAAATATTTATATCTTTTATACAATCCGATCTTATCAAATAACAAAAAAAACACAAACTTTTTATGTCTACATGACGTTTCACATAAATTACAATGTATCTTTTTCAGGCGAGTGCAACTTAAATGAAGAAGTTAGCGATATAAATAACATTTCATGACTAAAAATCATCAGACTGTGTCTAGTAATTAGACAAAGTCAACCGTTCCCTGTCCTGCTTTAGCTTCCATTTTCTTCTAAATGAGATTGAGATTTGGAAAGAGACATGATGCGGTGCCAAATTGATGCTAGCAGTTGAGAACATTAACGAGAAACAAACATAAATCATCAAATGAGAAAGATGATTTTTTTTTTTCCCTCCACATACATCTGTGATTTATTTCTAAGGCTTTTACTGTAGTACTCAAATGTTTTGTTTATTTTTATAAACAATCTATCATCTGTCTTCAATCTCACGATTGGTCGAGAAAACAACACAACGGCCACAGTAAGTCTTGGCTAAAAACGAAATGTCACCGAAAGTGGGTTTAAGAACACAGATCGTGAATCAGAAGGCAAAATGTTTTTTTCTCTACCATTTTGAACTGATGTCCATCTGGAATTTGGCCAGAAGACTGAGATGGTCAGAAGGAAACGTGTAATTGGGGAGACCTTTCATTGACCACAGGACATCCTCTGAGGGTAGAGAGAGGCTGCCCATCAACGTCAGACCCTCATTTACCAGGTTGTCACCATCTGGGGAAAAAAATAAAAATGTATAAATTTTTTTTTTTTTCCCCCCTATCGTTGGACCTTTTTTGATTTTCAATCATAACTTTTTGAGCCGGGGGGGAGGAGGGGTTGGTAGAAGATGTAGTCCACTGTGGCTCCTACTTCAGAGTGCAGTGTTGTAACTTCTGGGCAGCCAGATCCCGGAAGAACGTGTTTATAGACCGACTCCAGGTCTAAGGGATGAGTGAGTGTGTGCCTGAAACTGTGGCACCAAAAGGTTATGACGGACGCCTCCGTTCATGACAAGTATATGACAGCGCAGAAAAAACGTCAATATCACGACTTCTTCTTCCAAAGCTCATCTAGACTCTATGTTTTTGGGACGCCACATCAGACCAAACAGAGACAGAAGCAACTAATGACATAACTTGATTACAAAAGAATCCCGTGGAAAAAAACTGACCTTGTATGAAGAGGTGGATTTCCCCAGGAAACATCTGTCCATGAGGGGGGAAAAAAAAAAAGAAAAGTTCTTTAACCAACACAAACTTTTTTTCAAATTTTTTCTACAAAAATGCACTGCTCTCTCTCAGGTTTACACCAATACCTGGTGTGTTGTCGGTCACACCTGGGATCAGCTGAAGATCCACTGGGCGAACACATGCAGCAGGACAAAAACGCAGCTGCTGCATGAAGTCGTGACTGTACTGCCTTTTACCTGTAAATGATAATATAATAAATATAAAGATGAGTTATTGATTAAAAAATGTTTAGATCATTTTCAATAGTGACATTTATGTGAGACAAAGGATAGGGGGAAAAAATCCAGGTAAAATCCTGCTTCAGAAATAGGGGGGAAAAAAATCCAGGTAAAATCCTGCTTCAGTATACCAGCAGAGGGCGATATAAGCACAACAATAAAAAACCGGTTAAGCCGAACGCTCCTTGAGGTAAGAAAATGAAGTTGCATTAAAGCCACTGTTGGCTTCCAGAGGTCAACAGAATCTGAAATGTGCTGCCTTTATCTTAGCATTGTTCATTGTGCGCACCATGTATGTACAGAATGTCTTGTAGCTTGTAGCAAAATCCCCCAAAAAAAGCTACTGAGACATTGTTTTACTGAGAGGTTAACAGCTAACATTGCACCTAAGGATTTATTTATTTTCGGTTGCGCAGAACCTGAAATATGCGGCTACTTCCTGTAATGTTGCTAGAAGACTATTAATGCCTTTGTGGCTGCACAAGGAGAAGGAGGAAAATCACTAATTTATTCAGACACTTTTATTACCACGACTGTTTTGTTTTTAGTGTAAAATCTCAGGACACTTTTATTACCACGACTACTGTTTTGTTTTTAGTGTAAAATCTCAAGTACAAACCTGACTTTGGATTTTGATTCTCAAATACATTCTTGACCGTAGAGTACTGACATTTGTCAGTGATGCCCAGGGAGCTGGGCCACAGGGGAGCAGCCAATCTGTGGCAATAGGTTTTATAGGACATGTCCTCTTGACCAGATATCTGTAAGACAGGGTCAACACACGGAGGTCACTTCCTCAATGTGACGACTCGAAGCACGCGAAAAGTCACAGGAAGTGAAGCAGAACAGGTGTGACATTACCATCCACGCTGGCAGGTGCTGGTAGTACAGGTTTCCCGTGGTGATGAGCTGGTACAGAGGCATGTGTGGCACTGAGTTAAAGTCTCCACACAGAACAACGTTACAGTGTTCACCCTTAGCCTTAGCCGACGTGACTACACTGTCGATCTCGGCCAACATCATGGCTACCTGAGCCAGCTTCACGTCGCCTCTCCTAGGGTTGAAGAGCAGGTGGGTGTTGCCCACGCAGAGAAGTGGGCTTGCGGTCTTGCTTTCGGACGCCTGGGCGACCAACGGACGAAGTAGCAGCACTATTCCTACGTTGTGTCGATTGAGCATCTCTATGTCAGGCCTGAAGAACTCCAGAAGTGAGACGGACACTTCAGAGAAGCAGCAGCTTCTGTAGCAGGTGGCGCAGCCGTCTGTCTTGGCTCCGGTGCGACACTTGTACACGCAGGTATAACCTGGAACATCAGCACAAAACACAAACATTCTAACAGTCCACAGCCATAAATTGCTCTTCTGTCTCAGCTGACCTACCAATCTGGCTCAGGACTGGATACAGTTGTTCATGGTAGTGGTTTTCCTGAACTTCTTGGAGACAAAGAATCTACACAGAAAGGGAAAAAAAAACACACACTACTTGTAAAATTCAAACTGAATTATTGCATAATCAAACGCAAGGACAAAACATCGCTCTAACGGCTCACATCTGGGTTCCATTTCACTATTTCGTCCAGCAGCACTTTGCAGCGGTAGTTCCAGTCCAGCACCTCCAGAGGACAGTGCATGTACAGATCTTCGTGGGTCTCCAGCAAATCCTGAGCCAGGATGTTGTAGGACATGACAGTGAATTCCATCGACGTCTTGGAGAACGGAAAGGGTACCAGGTCCGGCTCCTCCACTGGTGCTCTCTGCCATACTCTCCACATGACTGAGTGGAAGACAAGCACAGACACATAAACCTGGGCAAACAAACATATGACCATAATGATATTTCTATGCCACAGACTAAAAACATAACTCTATTGTTGTCTTAATTTTAGCCTGATTAAGCTTAAGGTTCTGACCACCGTTTGACTCTTACCTTCAAATGGTTCTATGGACTCCATGGAAGGGTAGTAACTCGCCACAGGAAATTGCCACAGCGGGCACTCGACTTCCTCTGCCAACCCTAGTCCTGCAGGGAAGTGCCAGCTCGTTTGTGTATTGTGTTGCTCGCTGATTGTGGTGTGATTCTGGTCGCTAGAACTTAAAGCGGGAAATACTAGCCTAGAACTGTTAGCGCCAACCTGCTCCTTGTCACTATCAGAAGTTAGCCAGTATTCATCCCAACACTCCGTCACCTCCACAGCTGCGTTCACCGACGACGACTCTTCTTCTTTCTGTACTGGACAAATGGTCTCTTGGGTTCCGTCTTCAGCTGGAACTACTGTTTCCTCTACAGCATGTGCTGGAACTTTTGCTAATCCTGAACAGATATGTTTCTCTGTAGCCTCATCTGTCTGCAGAC